TGTACATGGGTACCAGCAGAACCAGGACAGGACACTGGCTGGTCATATAGGACAATAGCAAGCTTCCCTCAGTGATTTCTGACTGATTCTCCAGCTCCAACTTGGAAGACAGGACCACCCTAAACACCAGTCAGACCAGGACCAAGGACGAGGCTGACTAGTATTGTCAGGTGTGGGACAATGGAACTAATGCTCATAGTGAGAAAGACAGACAAGGATATGAGACACAGACTCCTTCCCCATCTGTGTCACACACGCCTTTAGCCTAGGAAGACTGTGGACAAAGCACAGTAGGTCTGACCCAGGTCCCCAGATCTGAGATTCCAAGACCTCTCTCCCAACATAGCCTGCCAGGCAGCCCCTGCACCATGTGCATCAGGGATGCTGTGCAGGAGGCAGGATGGTGCTATCATGTTTTCTTGGCTACAGTTTGTTTGGGGATGGAAGACCTTGCTGGGATAACCAACAGAGAGACATCAATGGAGATTGAAGAAAGTCAAAATGGCAAAGGGATGTCTGACCTGTCAGTTGAATAGAATCATTGCTGTGTCTCTGCGTAGAAGCAGTTCTCCTTTAGAACTAAGACCTCTATATCAGCAGAGTGTAGGGTTATGGTGACAGTCATAATTTTGTAGCCGGTCACTGGATATATCAGTGAGTGGAGTTGTTCCTAATTCTACCTCTAGATCACTGGACCCATGAATCCTGACTATGGAAAAAATAGCACCATAAGTTGGAAACAGAAGGAGTGAAGGTAACACTTCCTGGAAACTGTTGCCTCCACCCCACAAGGTGTTCTCCCATACCTGGCACAGTAACTGTCTTCAAGAGAACATGAATCCTCTTGTCATGCAGCCAGCTGTTTCAGAATGGTGGGAAAGATGATAAAGCCAGTGAATCCCATGGCCATGGGCACACCGCAGCCTTCCATTTAATGTGAAATATGTTCCTTGGACAGAAGCCTCCCTGAAATACTAGACAGTGGGTGATGTCTCCTGAAAGTCCAAGGGTAATACTTTGAGAGGAAGCATTGTAGTCAAAGGAAGCAAGTCCTTATCTCAATAAAGCTCTGTTGCAACAAGAACAGAGCAATCCCTACCATGATGGAAGAGGTCTAATGTAATTAATCTGCCACCAGACTCCTGGCTGATTCCGTAGGGGAGGGTCTCAGAATGGGAACTTAGGGATGGTCTCTGCCATTGGCGAATTGGTCCTCACAAGCAGCCATAACCAGGTCAGCTTTAGTGGTTGGAAATCCGTAGTGATTAGCCCATGAATAACCACCCATCTTGCAACATAGGCACTTTGCTATGGAGCCCACCAGGCAACTTCAAGAATGGATGGAAAAGAAGGCTGACCATTGTCCCCAGACATGTCACATTAAAAGGACACATTATGGTAGAAATTTTCAGGGAACATAAATAGCATCCACATCTATGTTTATTTGTGGATTTCTACTCACATAACTCTTCCTCAAATGTCCTCACCAATTTTCTTATTGTGTCCTTTCAACACTGACCATCAGCCAAACTATGAGTCAGAGCCCATAGGTTAGAATAAAGCCACCTCTTTCCTTCTCTCTCTAGATAAAAAAAAAAAAAAAAAAAAAAAAACAATTACCTTGCTCAAATGCTATCTTATTGGAGAATTTTCTTGTACCCATGTTATCCAGGAGTGTCCCAGATAAGGTTGAAGTAGATATATTAACTATCAGTGTTGTCTGTGTATCATTAGGAACCAACGTAAATAAGCCTTATGTTTTTTTCTCTGTATCAACTGGTTGTCTGATTATCCCCATTGGACCATAGCTGTGTATGCCAGACAAAAGATAATGGAGCAGGGATTGGGGGTTATGGACATCACCTCTTCCTCATGCAACTCACCTGTTCCTTCAGAACCTGCTGAAGCCTGATCTCAAATCTATCTCCCCTGTTTGATGATAGACAGTTGCTGTGTATGCCCAATTCCATGGCATGGTTGGTCAGATGGCACCCAGTCCTTGCAGGCAGTCTGGTCACACGGTGATTTAGTGGCTAACAAAGAGCACACAGTCTCTGTTAAGGTTCAGTAGCAAGTCAAAGTGTTGGCCAAAGGCAAATATTTCTATTTATATATATATATATTTTTTAAAAAGGTAAGCTGCCCATCTATTTCAGTTGTAGGCACTCCATAATTAACCGATACCCATGTCCACGATCAAATGGGTCTGATGACTAATTTGGTCCTGCTATTCCCTATGGTAACAAGACCCAAATAATAATTTCTGATCACATGGAACTGCATGCCTCCTAACAATGCAAAGACCCCATCAATAACAACTTGCTGCACAATTCAGAGTTCAGAATCTCTAGAAAATATATGTGTATATGTTGTAAATTTGTTATATATTTATGACCAGCTGATATAGAGGAAAAAACATAGGGCTGGTGTACAGAGGTTCCTATATGATATGCAGGCAATTCTGAGATTTAATAATATAAGCAGGCAACTCCTGCAGCCTCATATGGGACCCACCTGCATGCATCGGTGCAGGAGAATTCTTCAGTGAAGTACTGTGTGTGTGTGTCTGTGTGTGTGTGTGTGTGAGTGTGAGTGTGTATAGACAGATGGATAGATAGATACCTCCACAGATACACACACAGGAGACACAATTAGTATATATGGGCACACACACTCACAAGTATATTCATGTATGTGTATGAGTGTAAATATATGATATAAAGGCATGTGTAACAGGAATTGGATGTCAGGTGGAAACACACACACACACACATGAGCAGCAGAGAAGGCACAGTGACTGTCACCTACAAAAGGGCTCCCGCTTCCCACTCATTGTGCAGGGAGGCTTACACAGGACTCCTCTTGTGACTCATCTTCCCAGGAAACATATAACATGAGAATTCTAACACATCACACCTGCCACCAAGTTTTTAACTTATGGGAAATTATCACATTGGGACTCAACTAGTTTTGAATCGCAGACACCTAAGGTCCTCACTGTCCCTGCATGTCCTCACACAAACCAGACTCATCCCCACAGAGACTGACTCCAAACACACTTCAGTTCTTGTCCCTTCTTGCCATCTTGACAGCAGCCCCACAGTCCCCTCTGCAGACAAGCCTCCTCCAGCCTCTCCCCACACACGACCTGCCTGTCATTTCGTCTGATGTGACTTCATTCTCTGCACATCACCCAACACTGCACATGTTCTTCTATGATTATTTTATTAATTGAATGCTTTGTGTTAATTGTTATTCTAGGTGGTTAGGAAGATTTTAATGTGATACATACGCATCTCAATCAGACGCATGAATATTTAGGTGCTTGTTTTTCTCCCACAGAAATAAGTCTGAAGTCAGATGGTGGTTCTCACCAATTCCATAAGGTCCCAAATCTTCTCACTTTCACTCCCACCATCACTGCTAAGGAGGCTTTTCTTTTCCTTTTTGTTGACAGCAGACCTCAGGACAGCTGTGGGAGCTCCAGCTTTCTCAGCCAAGTACCAGAGCAAGAGCACTGTGTAAATCTGGTCAGTTTCTTTCCTTCACAAGAGTAAAATTACCCCCAAAGATCCCCAGCCACATAACACATTCATTGGCCATCTTTGGACCATGGGGTCAATGTTGACCCAGTGGCACCTGAGAATAGCCATAGTGTGACTTCTAAATGAATACAGAAAACAAGATGCAGATAGAAGGGTTTGGAGTCTATATGCTATATCAACAAAGCATGTACGTCCACTCTGCTGCTCCAGCCCCAAGACAGAAACTCTGACATAGTGACTATGTCTTGTTCACAGCAATTTCCAGGATGGAGTGTCTGCCAGAACAAAGTGGGTCTGAATAAATATCTGTTAAGTCACATTTCTCCTGTCTCTGACTTGGAAGCAATAGTCACTTCTGCCTGGGTTGGTCCTGTGCCAGCCGCTGACACCAGTAAGGGGCAGTCCCTGAGTCCTGTGTCCCCTAGTGCCAACCTCCAAAAACACATGCGTGACCACCCATACTTCATATGAGCCCTGCATTCTCCTCCTCTAAATGAGCCTGCTTATATTTTCATGGGTTATCTGATCAGCACCTGCATGATGTTGAGGGTGGCAGGGTCTTCTTAGAGAAAAGCAATTCCTCAAAAGAAGCTTAAAGCCCATGGATCAGGGAATCAGGATCTTCTGATCAGAATTTCTAATAAGAGTTTCAAATCTGACAAAGGAATTCTTGCACCTCCAGCAGCATGTGGCGTGGCCTCAAGGAGGCAGTAAAGATCACCTGACAAAGTCTCCTGGACATGCGGTATGTCTGAGCATCAGGGGTTCTAACAGAGTGGGAGGCTTTGTCACCACCACCTGAGACTTAAGGGAAAAGTTATTGGCTTTCTATAACGTCACCTTTACCACTGACATAAAATTCTGGCTCAGCGTCACTCAGATCTGTCTCCTAGAATTTGCCAGTATCTTGCACAGGGCCAGTGCTTCATACCTCTGTAAGCCATCCCATTTCTGTTAAAACCCAGTCACTGTCAAATCTCACTCAAGCACTGCATCTATCCCAGGAACTGAGTGCACATTGGGGAGACTGAGCCACAGAATCTATGACCTGCCTTAGGAGCTCTCCCTGAGGACATCACCTACAGCACCTCAATGGCTCCTGCAAAACTCCACGTGTGCTTAGCAAGTGAAGAATTTTCATTTTTCATGGTCACAAACAGGGATCTGGGCAGAAATTGCAAAGATCTAAGCTTCTTATGGTCACCCAGAAGCAAGAACAGGCCAAAATCAGGGAGGGGATTTCAGAACCAGCTGTGGGACAAGTGGGTGAAGCAGAATCCCCTGGGCTGAACATAGGTCTGCAGGAACCACCCCTTCTTCCCTCTGTCCCTTGGGGCTGAACTTTCTCTGAAACCACAACACTCCTCAGCAACAACTCTGGCTAATTTGCATAACCTGCAGGTATTACCAACAAGGGGATAAAAGGCCTAGGAAGGAATGTACCAGCCTAGGGCCTCAAGGACCAGAATCAGGGCACCTCCACCATGGCCTGGACCCCTCTCCTCCTCGGATTCCTGGCTCACTGCACAGGTGCTGAGCCCAGGCTCACACCCTCCTAGACCCACAGAACTGTCACAAGCCTGACCCTGAAATTGAGCTCAGTGGGGCTTGCCTGTGGCAGTCAGGATGCTCAGGACCCAGCTGCGGGATGAAGGGCTGGAAGGCTCTGTGTGAGCCTTGAGGGGCTGCACCTGCCCAGGGAAAGAGGGTCATGGTCCTCTTTGTTCAAAGGCTCCAGCCACCATCCAGGCCCAGGGGTCCCAGGGGCTGACACTAATAGGAAGGGTTCCCTGTATGCCCAGGGTGTCCCTAAACATCAATCTAGATCACATAGGTGACCTAGATGAGACCCAAATTTGTAAGCCCACCTCTCCTTTTCTCTCTTGCAGGTTCTGTGGCTGCCTATGTGCTGACTCAGCCTCCCACAATGTCGGTGAACCTGGGACAGACAGCCAGCATAACCTGCAGTGGAGACAACATTGGAAATACATATGTTTCCTGGCACCAACAGAAGCCGGGCCAGGCACCTGTGACAATTATCTATAGTGATAGCAACCGACCCTCAGGAATCCCTGACAGGTTCTCTGGCTCCAACTCGGGGAACATGGCCACCCTGACCATCAGCGGGGCCCAGGCTGAGGACGAGGCTGATTATTACTGTGCATCATATGACAATAGTAGGAATACTGCTCACAGTGACACAAGCAGATGGGGAACTGAGACACAAACCCCTTCTCCATCTGAGTCACACTATCCTCCAGCCCCAGGAGGCCTATGCACAAAGCAGTGAGCAGGTCTGACCCAGGTCCCCAGGTCCAAGGTCCACAGGCTCCTTCCTCTTCTCTGCCCTGCAGGTGGGCTCTGCAGAGGATGTATGATGAATAACAAAAATTACCATTTAGTGAGATTCCATTTGTTTGAAGAGGCAGAGCATGACTGAATAGGTTCAGTGCAGATGTGGAGGACCTTTGTACAGGGCCACATCTCACCTCTGAGATGAAAACTGCAGTATCGTAGAATAAAAATGCACAGGGTGACACTGACAACAGATTAGTTGCTGTAGAATGAGATTCCAAATTCAATGATGTCAACGTAGTAACCATTCAAAATGTAATAAGGCAAAAAAAATTTTTAATACTATAAGAAATGAACAGAGCCTCAGTTGGCTGTGGGACCACCTCATGCTGCCCACTATGCTTGTAACTGGAGCCCAAGCAGAAAAGACAAACAGGAGGGAAGAGAAAAGATGCTTAAAGAGGTATTGGACAGAAATGTTACAAATTTGGTGTAAACAATAACTGACACACATATTCAAGAAGTTCATCAAAGCTCAAGCAGAGTAACCATGAGGCACCAACACTGTCATCACGTCACAGCCATATTGCTGAACATCATTGTGGGAGTCATCTGTGAAGCAGCCAGGGAGATTGTGCAGATCGTCTGCAGAGGAATAAATATGGTGAAAACAAATTCTTACTAGAAGCAAAGTAAGCAAGATGACAGTGGATAAATGTCTTTTAAAAGGAAGCTCCTAAACTATTTATCTGTAGGGGGACCTGGATGGCTCATTTGGTTAAGCTTCTGCCTTAGGCTCAGGTCATGATCCTAGAGTCCCAGGATCAAGACATTTGTCCCACTGCCTGCTCAGCAGGGATTCTGCTTCTGCCTCTCTGTCTGCCCCAACCCCAACTTGTGTGTCCCATCTCTCTCTCTCAAGTGAATAAAATATGTATGTGTGTATATACATATATATATACATGTATATATATATAAAGATTTTATGCTGTATCAACATATAGACCATATTTTTTAAAAAAGGAAAGATCTTTCCACCTGAAATTCATTATCCCATGAAAATATCTCTCAAAAATGAAGCAAGATAAAACTCTCAGCCTGCAGAACGTCACATAATTGATCACCCACAGACACTCACCATAGCAGCGAGTGACAGACGCCCCTCACACAGAGGAACAGTCTCTTGGACAGCAATGTGACTCCACACAAAGGGATGAAGAATATCAGCTTTGGGAACTACCTGGATAAACATAGAAATGTCTCTGAATGATCACTGTGTGAAGCCAAACATAATAACAACATTCTCTGGCTCATGATGAATCTCAGAATTAAACTCATGACCACCACAGCCCAAAGTCAGGGGTGGGTGAGAAGAACATATTAAACAGTCCTCATTCTATGTGAGGTGATATAAAAATCACTGGAAGGTAGACTTCGGGAAGAGAGATTGATCCTGTAAACCTTGAAGCAACAATAAACTAAAACTTCTCAAGAACAAAGAGTTATATCTAATGAGGTGTGTTCGTTAGGGTTCTCCAGACAGAACCAGCAGGAGAGGCACACAGCTGAATCTTGAACAACATGGGCTGACTTGCTTGAGTCCAGTTACTCACAAGAGTTTGCATAATAGTAAAGTAAATGTATTTTCTCTTGTTCATGCTTTTTCCCCAAATCTGTGTGTTTTATTCCCAGGAGACAGCCAGGAATGGGAGTGCTGAGCAGCCAGACAGGTGGAAGGACATTCCTCTGGTAGGGTGTGCCTGCCCAATCCGGGGTCTACCCTGGAGCAGAAGCCTGGTTTTCAGGGAGACAGTAAGGGTAGGGCGTGGAACGCTCTGAGGGGACATGGTCTCTGGTGACAGATGCACACTTGTGAAGCTACGGGGAGCAGAGAAGGTCCTTCTTTATCACCAAGACGCTTCTGTGGGAAATACCACATCACCACACAACCTTCTGGTCAATATCCTTCTGGTCAATACCTTCACTTGGTGAAGGTCCATTTGATGGCATTTCCCAGCATGCTCCACACCTTGGGCCAGACTTCTATCCCCTTCCACAGGTGGTGGGTGTCCTCCCTATTCACTCAGATCTTGCTGTGCTTATGGATTTGACCTTAGGGCAAACAGTGATCTCATCAATCTACACATGACTCTGTGGTTGCTCTCTCTCCAAGTGGTCACAAGAGAAGGCTAGGCTCCATGAACCTCACTCAGCAGAGGAGGCTGGAAGGTCAAGGAGCTGAGTGCAGTTCACATCTGTTTGTCACATTGTTAGGGCAGGCTGGTGACCATGCACAGGTACTTGTGTATTAACCATATGCTTGTCGATGTTCTTAGCTGAGGACTGGTGCACGGAGTCAACACAGTGCCATCCTCACTGGAGGCTCACATGGTGCTGGCCCGGCAGGGGCTGCAAAGGCCCCACACACCAGTACCAGTGATCCTAATTTTCCTAATTTTCTTCTTCACAACACTTTCTTTTTGTACTCACTTTTTTGTGAGAATAAAATATATAGTGCATATAACAAATAAAATATGTGTTAACCCATTGTGTATGTTGTCAGTAAGGTTTATGGTCAAGAGTAGACTAGTAGTAGTTCAGGTTCGGGGCAGTCAAAGATATATGCAGATTTTAGACTGGACCTGTGTCAGTACCCCTAACACCTACTTTGTTAAAAACTCAACTGTAATGTGAATTTTTCATAATCTGTTAAAAAAAAAAAAAATGAATGAATGTGGTAGGCTTCCTAACTCATTCATGTAGACATTGTTACACTGACACCAAAAGTACACATCACTGGAAAGCTATAGACTGCTGTCTCTTACAAATACAGGCACAGAAATCATCAACAAAATATTATCAAACTTAACCCAGCAACACATAGAAAGAAATAGACACCAGGAACAGAGATTTATTGCAACAATACAAGGGGTTTGAAAATACAAAAACAATTAGTAGAATACAGCATATCAATGGAATAACATATCAGACTCACATGGTTATCTCAATAGATGCAGAAAGAGCATTTGACAAATCCAACGTCCTTTCATTAGAAAATGACAGACCACCCAGCAGATGAGCACAATGACCATCAGCTACAAAAAGGCTGCTGCTTCCACTTCAGTTTGCTCCTTTTCACACAGGGACCATTCCTGTGATTCACCAAAACCAGAAGCAAAACAGCAAAATGAATTCTGAAACACCTCACTCCAGACCCCAATTCTTAACTTCTACGAAAATATTACCTGGTTCTGACAAGATTTAAATCACAGACACCTTAGGTTCTCACTGTTTCTTCAGCCTCAGACAAACAGGAAACTTCCCCGCAGACACTGGCTCTGCTGTCCCCAAACACATGTCCTGTACCTGTTCTTTCTTCTCACCCTGACAGAGTCTCCAGTGTCACGTCCCAAAACTACCTCTTCCAACCTCTCCTTGCACAGTGTCATTTTTCCTGATATCCAACTTAATTGTCTGCATATTACCTACTACTGAATGGTTTTTCCCTATAATTATTTGATTAGTTCATTGATTTGTGGTCATTATTTCCCTACTGGTCACAAAACCTTAGTCTAAGACATACAGATAATAAGCAGAGGCAGGAACAGACAAATTTCCTCCCAATAAAGCCTGGAGGCAGAAGCCTACTTTCCAAGATACTCTCCAATTCCAGGTCCCCAATCTACTCACTTTTTGTCTCAACATCTCAGCCATGGAGCTTTGCTTTTCTTTCATTCCTACTGACAACAGAGCTCACATGACTACTACAGCTCCAGCTGTCACACCATGTTCAAAAAGAAAGGCACTCCATATATCCGGTGTGTTTCCTTACTTCATGAGATCAGAAGTCCCCAGAAAAATCACCAGATGAATGACATAGCTATTGGCCAGTGCTAAACACAGGGTCAGTACCAGCCATGAAGGACATAGGAATAACAATGGTTTTGACTTTCAAATGAATACAGAAGACAAGACCTAGGTAAAAGGTGGTAGAGACTCTCTACTGTCTCACCAAAACAAGTGTGTCCATTATGTCACCCCACCCACAACATGGAAACTCTGAGAGAGAAACTGTCTTCTTCACAAAACTTTCCCAGGATGGAAAGTCTGCCAGACCAAAGTGGGACTGAATAAATTACTTGCCAGGGGAGTGTTCTCCTGCCTCTGTCCTTGGAGCTGTAGCCACCACTGCCCTATTTTGGTACATCAGCCACCAGGGTCACTAGAAAGCAGTTCCTGAGTCCTGTGTCCCCCAACCCCCAGCCCAGAACAACACCCGTGATGACCCACCACCTCAGTGGTAGGAGCAGTAACACCTCAGACGAGTTGCGCTTTCTCCTCCTATTTTTCGTGGATACTCGGATCTCCTTCAGGATGGCCTTGAGAGTGGCAGGGCCCACATAGAGTAGAGTATATCTCCCTGAGTCCAGCAGTCCATAGATCAGGAAATCAGCATGTGAGCAATGGGTTCTGAATCTCCACTGGGACTAAAAAGATTTCCCTGCACCTCCAGACGAGTGGCCAGCAAGAGGCAGCAGAGATCAACCGGCCAAGCCATCTGGCCATGGGGAGGGTCTGGGCATCAGGAGTTCTAACAGGGAGGGTTGTTCACCAGGACCTGGAACCAGAAGGAAAGGTGCAGGTTTTCTACACTGTCGCCTTTGACTCTAATGTAAAATTCTGACTCGGGGGGCTTTCAGATCTGTATCTTGGTGATTTTGTCTCCGTCTCTAACACAGGTCCAGGACTTCATGCCTCCCCACCCAGCACATTTCTGCTACACTCAGTCATTGTCAGTCTCTGCTCAAGCTGAGTCAGCCCCAGCATACAACACATCCTGTGGATACTGAGACACAACATCTATGACCAGCCCTCAGAACACACACCTACATCAGCCCTTCAATGGCTCCTTAAAACTCCATGTGTGCTTGGCAAGGGAGAACTTTTGTTTGGGTTCTGATGTTTCCCAATGGACTATGGCTTAGGCACTGCACTGACTTAAGCCACCTAGTACCTGCAGAGGAAACACTATTGTGGGCTAAGAAAATGCAGACAAACTCCATCTTAGTGCTCCACCAGCACAGATCAGACCAGCAGTGATGTCAGGACATGCAGAGGGATCGAGTTCGTTCCCCAGACTATGGACTGGGGGTGAAGCAGAATCCCCTGGGCTGATGGTGGGTCTGCAGCTCCAGCCCTCACTTCTCTGTGTCCCTTGGGGCTGAGCCCTGCTCTGAAACCACAAGGCTCCTCAGCAGCAGCCCCTGAACCTCAGCTGATTTGCATGACCATCTTATCCCTCCAGCAAGGGGATAAGGGATGCCTGGGATGAAGCCAGCCCAGCCACAGGACTTGGGGAACAGAATCAGGTCACTCCACCATGGCCTGAACCCATCTCCTCCTTGGCCCCCTTGCTCACTGCACAGGTGCTACACCCAGGCTCAGACCCTCTGCAGCCCCAGGAATCTGGAGCAATCCAGGCCCCGACTCTGAGTTCAACAGGGAGATGCTTGTCAGGGGAAGGATGGTCATGACCCTGCTGCAGGATGAGAGACTGGAGGGGTGTCATCCCCTCCAGTGCTCAGTGGCACAGACTTGTCCAGAGAAAACTGAGGATAATCTCCTTTGGGCAAAAAATCCATCAACCAGCCAGACCCATGGGCTTCAGGGGCTGAGATGCTGGGAGGGTGGAAACAAGGTCCCGAGAATACCTGGAGCTCAGGCCAGGCAGGTGATGGTGTTCTAAGGATGAGACCCAGAACTGAAAACCTAACACTCCTTTTCTTTCTTGTAGCATCTCTAGCCTCCTATGTGCTGACTCAGCCCCCGTCTGTGTCAGTGGCTCTGGGACAGATGGTCCAGGTCACCTGTGGGGGAAGCAACATTGTAAATAAAAATGTCTACTGATACCAGCAGAAGTCAGGCCAGAGTCTTGTGCTGATCATCTATTCTAGCAGCAGCCGGCCCTCATGGATCCCTGAGCGATTCTCAGACACCAACTCTGGGAACACGGCCACCCTGACCATCAGTGGAGCTCAGGCTGAGGATGAGGCTAACTATTACTGTCAGGTGTGGGATAGCAGTGCTGATGCTCACAGTGACACAATGTCTTCCCTGTCTGTGTCTCACTCTCCACCAACCCCAGGAGGCCTGTGCCAAAGCAATGAGCAGGTCTGACTCAGGTCCCCAAATGCAACATCCCCAGACCTCCCTAGACACCCACACATTGGAAGTACCTGCACAAGGTGTACAGGGTTGATTTGGGGCTCCTGAGATTGTCTGGGCTGAATATGTTGGAAATAGAGCTACCGGGTATAAGGGCTAACAGAAAGAAACATCTGTCAGTGGTCATCATCCCGCATTTCCATATGGTGGTCATAGACCACTCCTTCACCCAACTTCCCAGGACTAGAGCCCAGAATCTTCCAGCTCAGCAGAGCTCCTAAAACCCTGCCACCTGCCAGCTGGGGATTCTGAGTGGAGCAGATCAGTGCATTACTCACTGTAGTCCCCCTCTTCTGGTCTCACATAAGCCCCCATCTCTGCCTGGAGCTGGGGACAGTCACAGGGATCCTCCTCACTGGAGAAGTGCTCTTGGTTAAGAAAACTGTCTCCCCAGGTTTCTCGCCATTCTCGGAGAGACTGTGTTGAATGATGGCCTGACCCAAGGTCCCAAGACCCTCCCTCAGATTCAGGTGTCTTGAATGGTCCCAGCAGGAAGGCAGCCTCATCTGATGTCCCACTGTAGGTCACTCTCCTTCTGCACAGTCTGGCCAGCCTCACTCCCTCCAGATTTCCTGAAAATGCACTTCTCCATCTCAGAGTCTGTTTCTGGGAACCCAATCCAGGACAACCAGGGACCTGAGGAGTCTACTATATATCCACAAAGCTCTGCTTTCTCCTCCAAATCCAACTTAGCGTGTGAGATCCCCAGACAGACCATATTATATCTTCTATTTTTATATAATGAGAAAAGATGCATATACACTAGGTGCTGTGAGTTCTGATAGGCAGTTGGAGAGTCCGTCCATCCCGAGAGTGAATGGGGGATGATGAGACAGTGGCCTCCTCCTACAAAGTGTCCAGGTGGTATACAACCATGGGACTGAGACCCACAATGGGTGCTGCCTCACTTTTACCCCCCAAATGGTGCCCAAGAACTTCTCTTGACAGTCACCCTACCCAGAAATATGGACTGACAATGATATGAAATACAGTTCAGCCTGTCAATGCAGACAAGTAATAAGCCAGCACAGCCCACCCCTCCTCCACATGACATTCACCCAGGTCCCCACAAATCAGGCTCCAAATAAAGAGAATATTTGGAGCCCTGCTTCCACGTCATAGGATAAATCTATGAAGTGAACAACTATGAACATATTCACCCTTTC